ACTTAAAGGGTGGAGATGTTCGACTTGCGATAGTGGAATAGCATAAATATTGGTTTCAAACCTCTCTGATAGCGAATTTAATGATCGTTCACCGTGGAATCGATTGTTTTTTGATAAGGCCCAATTAACTCGGATAGGATGACAATTAAGTAGAGCGTTCATTATCGGATTAATATGATAGCAGGCAAATCGATTAGTTCAATTCATTGCAAACTGACAATTGTGAAAATTGATAATGCTAGATGATTATGTGAACATGTTTCGTGACTGGTTCAAGCACAGAAAAATAATTTCAGTTAGGATGATTGATAGTTGAGTATATGCTGTGAAGTGGAAGTTTCTAGATCGAGCGATGGTAATGTCGTTAAAGTTATCATCAAGAAATGAGGGATGTTGTCGATTGTTCGATGGATGCCCGAGACAGTACAGATTACTTTTGCAAATGGTCGATTCATTAGAGTTCGACGAGAAGCCAAATTATGCAGAAATACAAAGAATATTTGCCGATGTTGGTGTTTGAATAATTGGCCAATGTTTTGCATCTGAAAAGTTAATCATAAACGTCAAATATCTGATCAATAACTTACAATTAGTGATTGACCGATCGTTAGTGATTGTNAAAATTAAATTTTCAATTATGATTCACCAATCTCATTGAATCCTCAAATGTTTTATGAATTCTCAGCTTCAAACATCAATATCCATCAAACTGTTTTGGGCGCTGCTCAACAGTGCTACAGCATGTGTTACGAAAGTAGAGAATTTTTTCCGACTTTAAGAGTACGGTCATTTTTCACAGTCAGATTATGCTTGATGTCTAGGAATTGAAAATCGCTATGCAAAAATTGCTAAAGTGAGCTTAAAAGTTGCAAACGATCGAAATGAACTGTGAATGAGAGGTGAATTCAGCGTGTCAAACGAACGTTAATTGAATAAAATTTAGAAACTAAATTAGCGTTAAGCACGCAGACTGCTTAATTACCGAAGCAATCAAGCAAATTCCAACTTAATGAATTTCGAACGAAATGAAACAAAACATTCAGATTCGTAAAGAGAAAAATATTCGTATGCATGATCGTCTCGACTGGGATCAGGGAAGTACATCGGTGACGCTGAGCACAACGTTGAGTGCCTCGGCGTGTAGTGATCTTTATCATTATGCTATCAAAGAATGACATTTATCTGATCTTTCGTTATTTGCACATTTTTTGATTTGTTTTTCTTTTATTCAATCACAATATTCACAACTCCTTACGAACTGTTTTGTCACCAAATATTATCGAGAAAGGAAATGAATTAAACTTCATCCTCTCATCATTTCGATAATCCTTATTTGAAGGCACTACCAGTCTTTTTGAGCCTCGAATCTGTCAGTCGTCTAGTCATCTATCTCATCATTTGTTACCGATTTTCATCCATTGAATGTCAACAAAAAAAATTGTGAGTGTGTCTGAATTCTTTACGTTCGATTCTCGATATGCATACGCATATGCTGGCATGACAGAGAATATGGAGAAAGCGCTTACTGTACAAAGTGAAAAGATAGATTTTTGTTCATCGAAAAGCGATTTTGAATTATGCACTTGTCCAGTAAAGTTATTTCTGATACACTGTTGGTGAGAAGCATGTAGCTGTATGTTAAGAATTGTGAGAACTGACCGTGCATCTGCAAACAGTCCTGAATCTAGTAAACTGCAAAAACCCCATAATACTTATGACCTCAATATGACAGCGTCCAAAAGAGGTAATATTTTATCGTATTTTGATGCATAGCAAGTGTTAGATGACGACGGCAGTCATACAGCTTTGCAACATGTTGGTTGATACATAGAAAAATAGATGTATATTTCTCGACTGAGTGATATTTGCTCAGCATTATGGACACTTTCCTGATAACTCAGCTCATCTATGATTGAAACATTCCAGTCCACCACAGTACCGTCCGTTAACATTTATCAGGCTGATTGTAAGTACTGATTGGCATCAACGAATAACAATGCAATTTGCACTTGTTTGTGATATTGTTCCACTCATTTCTGATGATTTTGCTAAAACTTAAGAATAACTGCAACTTGTCAGCTAACATTGTAGCACTCTTAACATTAGGTCCACTTCATGCTTTCATACTGTTTGTTTGCTTTATGTAATGCTCATTTGAAATATGTTCGCCAGATGCGAAATTAGTTCGAAATATCATGCAGCGTGACCGCTGATTCTGAACTGATGAATGAAATTGAAACCGATGAACTGATGAAATGAATGAAATTCTGAAGGTCCACTTGTTGTTCGTTGACCGTGTGTTGATCGAGTTAAGCACTTACACGTATCAGTAGAATTCATGTGACAGGAATGCCATAATCAAATAATCGAAAATAATAAGAAGAAGGAAATGCAAATAAGAAAAAACTGAAATGAAATACTAAACGGAGTATTAAGAGAGGAAAGGTGTGTTCAGTATGACCATTCCACATATAATATAATGATAATAGCTGAATATTGAATGGCACATGAAATTATACAGATGTATATACGTGTGTGTACATGTAAAGCATAGTACGTCTGTCTATCTACATTGCCGTATCACTCACTATCATCGTATCATGCAAGCAAGTAAGTTATCGCCGAGGAAGAGGATCGCCTATGAATTTGCCAAGGTTCATATTCGTATCATTAACAGCTAATATTTTCATGTTCCTCATTTTTTAGTTAATCATCTTTCAATTTTTGTATTCAGTGAATTCTTTGAAGTCATTCCATTTAGAACGTTTCTTTCACAATGAGTTTCGCACGAAAATAATGCATATTTTGTTCACTAGCGACGAATGAGATAACGTAAGAAATGGAAATAATACCATTCACCAAATCGCACTCTACATCTTGCCCAATAGTTCTTCTTGTGTATATCTTCACGATATCTTCGTATGCCACACGCTTCGTGGATTATTTTTGTTGTATTTAATTGCAAATTCCTAATCTTCGCACGACAGCCGCACTACACATCTCACAATAAGCATATGTGTGTATCCCCGATGTATTGCCCATCTCAAGAGATGCGATATGGAAAAAAGAAAGGAAATAATGAAATTTCAATTGTATCGCCACAAGAAATAATCTATTTGCAAGGCTTTTTAGCAATTTTTCTGTGCGTCTCATCCTCTTTTAATATTTTCTCAGAAATAGCATTCGAAAGAGTTCTCATAATTTCATTAAAGTGAAAAATTTCTCGAAAATTTCTCCAAGTGATCATCAATGTATCAGTCCGTAACTGAGCATTACGCATTAAATGATTGTCGTTTACTGTGAACGTGTAAACTGTTTTGCAGTTCAGATCAGCCTGAGTTGCAGCTGTTTCTTTGCGCTTGAATAGTCAATATGAAACAACGGTTCTTGGATGTTCGTGCATACTAACCATAGTCATCTTATTTGTTTTGCACACCAAATATAACCATTCAGATGCGTTCAGTGCTCCTATGCGAATGCTCAGATGAAGTGATGCCAATGTTTGTTGTGTGAAAATAATGCTTTTGATTTCTCAGTGATGCCAAAATGAATTATGCCAAAAAAGAATAGGCAAAGCAAGAGTTGGTATCATTGTCGATTATTTACTGCATGATCACTTTTGATTTCGTAATATTTTGCAGTCGCAACATTAGTCAGTAAATTTACATTCCACTGATTCTTAAGGAGTTCATCATCATTAAGCAAACAATGAAATAAACAGCAAACAACAATTCAACTCTTACGCACTTGATCAGTTTTTGAATTGAAACGTGCGCGGAATTTTGAATTTTGTTTGATTCGAGTGGATAACGTTTAGTTACGTGAGATGTTCGATGATAGTATTGATTTTCATAAATTGAGAGGGCCAAGCAAGATTATGTTTTAAAGTGGTGTTGTATGAAACAAACAAGCAGCACATCACTCATCAACATCCTTAGAGTAATTTAATCCTTTGATGCACATCACAAGAGTGATAACAAACCAATTGATGTGAATCATTGGGTTTTGAATTTGAATGTGTTCGAAGCTAATTTTACAATTCATAAACGTATCGATTATCGTCTACAAAATCATCAGTTCTTAGATGTTAAGACGACAGAACACATTTGTTGAACTGTACTGAAATATTCTGATTGAACCTGGCACTGAATATATTCGATAATTATTGAGAAATAATTTGCTGAATGCATATTACAATCAGATTTCGTATGAAACGCAGCAGGATTGAACGAGTTTGACAGCGACGTTTTCGAGGATGAGGCAATATTCTCTCTAAAGCAGTATTCTTTGCCAGTCAGCAACTGCAAATGTCTTAAAACTTTTAGGATACAGCATGATTTTGAGGCAGTTGAGCTGTTGTCAGTTCTGCTAAACTTGAGTGAATCTATCTCATTCACGTCTCAGCATTCGCAAAAACGAATA